CAATTTGGTGTTTGTCCCATTTTGTGAATTCTTGGTTGGTGAGCGGACCCCAGACCTCACAACCATAAAGGGCAATGGGTTCTATAACTGATTCAAGTATTATTAGCCAGATCCTAATTGGTATGTTGAATTTTATGTTCCTTTTGATGGCATAGAAGGCCCTTCTTGCCTTGTCTCTCAGATCGTTCACAGCTTTGTGGAAGTTACCTGTGGCGCTGATGTTTAGGCCGAGGTATGTATAGTTTTTTGTGTGCTCTAGGGCAACGGTGTCTAGATAGAATTTGTATTTGTGGTCCTGGCAACTGGACCTTTTTTGGAACACCATTATTTTTGTCTTACTGAGATTTACTGTCAGGGCCCAGGTCTGACAGAATCTGTGCAGAAGATCTATAGTGAGGGAAAAAGGTATTTGATCCCCTGCTGATTTTGTACGTTTGCCCAGTGACAAAGAAATGATCAGTCTATAATTTTAATGGTAGGTTTATTTGAACAGTGAGAGACAGAATAACAACAAACAAATCCAGAAAAACACATATCAAAAATGTTATAAATTGTTTTGCATTTTAATGAGGGAAATAAGTATTTGACCCCCTCTCAATCAGAAAGATTTCTGGCTCTCAGGTGTCTTTTATACAGGTAACGAGCTGAGATTAGGAGCACACTCTTAAAGGGAGTGCTCCTAATCTCAGCTTGTTACCTGTATAAAAGACATCTGCCCACAGAAGCAATCAATCAATCAGATTCCAAACTCTCCACCATGGCCAAGACCAAAGAGCTCTAAAAGGATGTCAGGGACAAGATTGTAGACCTACACAAGGCTGGAATGGGCTACAAGACCATCGCCAAGCAGCTTGGTGAGAAGGTGACAACAGTTGGTGCGATTATTCGCAAATGGAAGAAACACAAAAGAACTGTCAATCTCCCTCAGCCTGGGGCTCCATGCAAGATCTCACCTCGTGGAGTTGCAATGATCATGAGAATGGTGAGGAATCAGCCCAGAACTACACGGGAGGATCTTGTCAATGATTTCAAGGCAGCTGGGACCATTGTCACCAAGAAAACAATTGGTAACACACTACGCCGTGAAGGACTGAAATCCTGCAGCGCCCGCAAGGTCCCCCTGCTCAAGAAAGCACATATACAGGCCCGTCTGAAGTTTGCCAATGAACATCTGAATGATTCAGAGGAGAACTGGGTGAAAGTGTTGTGGTCAGATTAGACCAAAATCGAGCTATTTGGCATCAACTCAACTCGCCGTGTTTGGAGGAGGAGGAATGCTGCCTATGACCCCAAGAACACCATCCCCACCGTCAAACATGGAGGTGGAAACATTATGCTTTGGGGGTGTTTTTCTGCTAAGGGGACAAGACAACTTCACTGCATCAAAGGGATGATGGACGGGGCCATGTACCGTCAAATCTTGTGTGAGAACCTCCTTCCCTCAGCCAGGGCATTGAAAATGGGGTCGTGGATGGGTATTCCAGCATGACAATGACCCAAAACACACGGCCAAGGCACAAAGGAGTGGCTCAAGAAGAAGCACATTAAGGTCCTGGAGTGGCCTAGCCAGTCCCAGACCTTAATCCCGTAGAAAATCTGTGGAGGAAGCTTGAAGGTTCGAGTTGCCAAACTCAGCCTCGAAACCTTAATGACTTGGAGAAGATCTGCAAAAAAGAGTGGGACAAAATCCCTCCTGAGATGTGTGCAAACCTGGTGGCCAACTACAAGAAACGTCTGACCTCTGTGATTGCCAACAAGGGTTTTGCCACCAAGTACTAAGTCATGTTTTGCAGAGGGGTCAATACTTATTTTCCCTCATTAAAATGCAAATCAATTTATAACATTTGTCTTTCTGGATTTTTTTGTTGTTATTCTGTCTCTCACTGTTCAAATAAACCTACCATTAAAATTATAGACTGATCATGTCTTTGTCAGTGGGCAAACGTACAAAATCAGCAGGGGATCAAATACTTTTTTCCCTCACTGTAGGTGCTGCTGTAGGCCCTCCTTGGTTGGTGACAGAAGCACCAGATCATCAGCAAACAGTAGACATTTGACTTCAAATTCTAGTAGGGTGAGGCTGGGTGCTGCTGACTGTTCTAGTGCCCTCGCCAATTCGTTGATATATATGTTGAAGAGGGTGGGGCTTAAACTGCATCCCTGTCTCACCCCACGGCCCTGTGGAAAGAAATGTGTTTTTGCCAATTTTAACCGCACACTTGTTGTTTGTGTACATGGATTTTATAATGTTGTATGTTTTTCCCCCAAACCCAATTTCCATCAATTTGTATAGCAGACCCTCATGCCAAATTGAGTCAAAAGCTTTTTTGAAATCAACAAAGCATGAGAAGACTTTGCCTTTGTTTTGGTTTGTTTGTTTGTCAATTAGGGTGTGCAGGGTGAATACGTGGTCTGTCGTACGGTAATTTGGTAAAAAGCCAATTTGACATTTGCTCAGTACATTGTTTTCACTAATGAAATGAATCAGTCTGCTGTTAATGATAATGCAGAGGATTTTCCCAAGGTTGCTGTTGACGCATATCCCACCCACGGTAGTTATTGGGGTCAAATTTGTCTCCACTTTTGTGGATTGGGGTGATCAGTCCTTGGTTCCAAATATTGGGGAAGATGCCAGAGCTAAGGAGGATGTTAAAGAGTTTAAGTATAGCCAATTGGAATTTGTGGTCTGTATATTTTATCATTTCATGTAGGATACCATCAACACCACAGGCCTTTTTGGGTTGGAGGGTTTTTATTTGGTCCTGTAGTTCATTCAATGTAATTGGATAATCCAGTGGGTTCTGGTAGTCTTTAATAGTTGATTCTAAGATTTGCATTTGATCATGTATATTTTTTTGCTGTTTGTTCTTTGTTATAGGGCCAAAAAGATTGGAGGAGTGGTTTACCCATACATCTCAGTTTTGGATAGATAGCTCTTTGTGTTGTTGTTAGTTTAGTGTTTTCCAATTTTCCCATAAGTGGTTAGAGTCTATGGATTCTTCAATTACATTGAGCTGATTTCTGACACGCTGTTCCTTCTCTTTCCGAGAGAGCTGCAGGAGTTGTTGTTTGTTATGTTGTCGTAGTTGTGCCTAGGGGGGCATATGGGGGAGGGAATGCTGTCACCTCCAGGTAGGTGTTTGTCCCCCTGTGTGCTGAGGGTGTCATGTTCTTGTCCAGTTCTGGCATTTAGGTCGCCACAGACTAGTACATGTCCCTGGGTCTGGAAATGATTGATTTCCCCCTCCAGGATGGAGAAGCTGTCTTCATTAAAGTAGGGGGATTCTCTCTTTCTCTCTCTCTCTCCTTACTTTACATCTCTATTTGTGTCTCTCTCTCTCTCTCTCTCTCTCTCTCTCTCTCTCTCTCTCCCTTACTTTACATCTCTATTTAGATGTAAAGTATAGCTCAGTATAGCTCAGCCCAGTCAAAGCTATTCGCTGCTCTGGCACCCCAATGGTGGAACAAGCTCCCCCACGAAGCCAGGACAGCAGAGTCACTGACCATCTTCCGGAGACACTTGAAACCCTACCTCTTTAAGGAATACCTGGAATAGTATAAAGTAATCCTTCTACCCCCCCCCCCCCCCCCCCCCCCTTCCCCCACCCCCCATAAAAGAAAACAAGTGGTTGTCCCACTGGCTATCATAAGTTGAATGCACCAATTTGTAAGTCGCTCTGGATAAGAGCGTCTGCTAAATGATGTAAATGTAAAATGTAAATGTATTTGTGTGTGTCTCTCTCTCTCTCTCTCTCCTTACTTTACATCTCTATTCTCTCTCTCCCTCCTTACTTTACATCTCTATTTGTGTGTGTCTCTCTCTCTCTCTCTCCTTACTTTACATCTCTATTCTCTCTCCTTACTTTACATCTCTTTGTGTCTCTCTCGCTCTCTCTTCTCCTTACTTTACATCTCTATTTGTCTCTCTCGCTCACTCTCTCTCCTTACTTTACATCTCTATTTGTCTCTCTCGCTCACTCTCTCGCTTACTGACAGTCTCTATTTGTCTCTCTCGCTTCACTCTCTCTCCTGAAGGAACAGGCCGAGGGGGGGGGGGGGGCGCGGCGAGCGCGCCGGAAGGGAACGCGCGAGGCGCGCGCGGGGCGCAGAAGGGAAAAGACGCAAGTGTAGAGATAGAGAGAAGAAGGAAGGGAAATGGCGAGTGGGGAGAGAGATAGTAGAGAGATAGAGTAGAGAAGAGATAGATATCTAGGCTAGAGAGAAGCTGCGCGAGAGATATATCGATAGATAGAGATGAATTGACATATCTTAGGTGTAGCTGATCGAGAACTCTCGCTCGCAGTAAGTTAAATAGCGAGTTCTCGTGATAGTCAACCGACTGTACATCCTATTTTGGGTGGGGGTGACGGAGAGAGAGAAGGGTAAGGGGAGAGAGAGGTGAGAGAGAGAGAGAGAGAGAGAGAGAGTAGAGAGAGAGAGAGAGAGAGAGAGAAGAGAGGGAGGAGAGATGATAAAGGAGTGAAGTCTTGCAGTAGTTGGCCATTAACTTAGGGTCCTTGACACATCTAATATTGTGTTGGTCCTCCGCTCTTCTCTGTCGCTCTCGCTTTCCTTAGAAGGGAAACAGAGAGGACAGGATAGAGAGAGAGAGTGAGAGGAGAGAGAGGGAGAGAGAGAGCGAGAGGAGTAGAGAGAAGAGAGAAGGAGAGAGAGAGAGAGAGAGACCAGAAGGGGAGAAGGGAATTACTATGGGCGAGGAGCTGAAAGAGAGAGGGGGGGCGTGGGATGTGCTGTTTGTGCTGGGCGGGGTGGGGGTGCTATGCTTCGCTAATTGAACGGGACAGGCTATAGTGGGGTGGGAGAGAGAGGAGAGAGACGAAGGAAAGGTAAGAGAGGAAGAGGAGAGAGAACAGTCAATGATAGGAAGGGGCAAAAGAGAGAAGAGTGGCGCGGTGCGGTGGGACTGATAAGATGCACAGGCGAAATGGAAAGAAGAGGAGGAAGAGAGCGCAGCCACGGGTAATAGTGAAATTGAGTAGATGGAGAGAGAGCGAGAAGGCAGGGAAACGCGCATAGGTGGGGGGGGGGGGGTGGGGGGGTGGGGGCGCGAGCGAGAGAAGAGAGAGCGACGAGCGCGCGCGACGAGAGCGTTGAGAGTGGAGAAAGGACGGGGAGGAAGGAACGAGGAGAGAGGCGAGAGAGAAAGAGAGAGAGGAGAGCGCGACAGAGGAGGACTAGAGAGCGAGAGAGCGAGCGCGCGCTCTCAGGCAGGACGGGACAGCGCGAGGGGGAGCGCGAGGCGCACGCGCGCGCGCCGGACGGGACAGGGGCGGCGAGGCGCGCGCGGCACCCGACGGGGACAGAGCTATGGGGGTGGTGGGTGGAGCTTATAGTAGACGTAATGTTAATATATATTGTATATCTTCGATCTATGCTCGATAGATTATAGCTATATCTATATCTATATATATATCCTCTACTATCTCTATATCACTAGCTAGGTAACCTTTACTTTACATCTCTATTTGTGTTGTCTCTTCGTCTCTCTCTCTGTCTCTTCTCTTTCCTGTACTTTACATACATTCTCGCTCTCTCTCATATTCTTCTCTCTCTCTAGTTTCTCATCTCTCTCTCTATCTCTCTCTCTCTCTCTCTCTCTCTCTCTCTCTCTCTCTCTTTCTCCTTACTTTTACATTATTTGTGTGTGTCTCTCGCTCTCCTTACTTTCATGCGCGAGGGGGGGTGGGGCGCGCGCGCGCGCGCGCCGGACGGGACAGCTAAGAGGAGGCGCGCGCGGCCCGCAGGACGGTAAGCGCGAGGGGGGGGGGGGCGCGGAGCCGGAAGGACAGCCGAGGCGCGCGTCGCGCCGGACGGGACAGTCGGCGAGGCGCCGAGCGCAGGACGGGAACAGGAGGGGGGGAGGGGGAGGAGAGAGAGAGAAGAAGCCGATGCGACAGAGGAAGAGTAGAGAGGACGAGATGAGAGATGAGAGTGTTTAGCCCTGTCTATTAGCTAGCTATCTCTCGATCGCTATCCCCCTACTAACCCGTGGCATATCTATGGTGTGTCTCTCTACTCCTTACTTTACATTCTATATTTAATCTCTCTATATATACGTCTCTCGCCTCTCCTTACTTTAAATATCGAGTCTCTCTCTAGCTCCTCCTTACTTTTACATATCTATTTGGGTGTATCTATATTTATAAGTACTTTACATTATATTATCATCTCTAGCTCTCTATCTCTCTCTATCATCATCTCTCTACTCTCTCTCTCTCTACTCTTTATCTCTCTATCTATCTCTCTCTCTATCCACTCTATGTCTCTAGATCTCTCTCTATCTCTCTCTTCTCTCTCTCTAGCTCTCTCTTCTCATTACTTTACATCTCTATTTGGCATATCTCTGTCTCTTAACTTACACTCCTATTATCTCTATCTCTATATCTCTCTATTATCTCTCTCTATATCTCTCTCTCTCTCTTATATACCTCTCCTTAATTTACATATCTATTCCTCTTTATCTCATTAATTAAATCTATATTTGTGTGTCCTCTCTATCTCCTTTACTTTACATCTCTATTTCTCTCTATCTCCTCTCTCTCTCTAATCTCTCTCTCTCCTCTCTCTCTCTCTATATCCTTACTGTACATCTCTAATTTATGGTTTGTCTATCTCTACTGACTTTAAATCTCCTATTATTCTCTCTCTCTCTCGCTCTTCGTCCTTACTTTACATCTAGATTCTTCATCTCTCTCATCTATAACTGTGCATCTCGGTTCTTCCTCTCTCTCTTTACTTTGCATCTGATATATATCTCTCTCTCTCTCTCTCTCTTCTCTCTCGCTCTCTCTCGCTCTCTACTAAAAACTTTAAATCTCTATTCTCTCTCTCTCTCTCTCTCTCTCCTACTTTTAAATCTATTTTCTCTCTCTCTCTCCTTACTTTACATCTTTTTTTTCCCCCCCCCTTATCCTTTTTCTTCCCCTCCTTTTTCCCTTCTCTCTTCTCGCTCCTTACTTTACATCTCTATTTGTGTGTGTCTTCTCTCTCTCTCTCCATCTGTATTATTTTCTCTCCCTCTCTCTTCCTCTCCCCTCTCTCTTTATCTTCTCTCTCTTTTTCTGGCCACCTCTCCCTCTCTCTCTCTTCCTCTTTCTCTCTCTCCGTCTGTCTTTCTATCCATCATCTGACAGAAGGTTTATCAGGGTGGGGTTGCTTGTGCCAAAGAGGCTCAGTCTGAAGGATTATCATTGTGCTATTGTATAACACACACATACACAAGCACGCACACACACACACACACACACACACTAAACCCCACAGTGTAGGCCGAATTGGAGTGTATAGGCATGATCAAACACTAACCCCAACCCCCACCCCCTACACACACCCACACACACTCACACACACATGTACACACAATCTCAGATCAAGGCTTGAAGCAATGTTGTAAACATCAGCATGTCTCACATCGGCAGACACCACCCAAAGAGAGAGGGAGCGTGATAAAGGAGGATAAAGCAGAGACGGAGAGAAAAAACACTCATAACCTCACCATGGACTCAAAGTCTTTGTGATCTGGATTTGATGCTGTTACAGAGGAAAAGAGGACAGCAAGAGAGGAGAGAACAGTTGTGTTGTGATATACATTTTGTGATCTTGGTGTCGGGAGCGCAGAGGAAGAGAGGAGAGCTCAGTGTGCGTTCTACTGTGTGACAGAACTGGAACAGTGGAAGGAACAGTGGAGATGAGAACACCAGCCAGTGGAACACAAAGAGAAAAAAAGAGAGAGAGAGCCGGCAATCACTAGGATGGAGGAAGATATTGTCTGTCAGACAGTGGAAGAGAGGAGGAGAAGGGGGAGTTCTGGAGTGGAGGAAGGGTCACGCAGTATGAGGAATCTTTATGACAACTCCTCACTGCACAGGGTTTCCAACGGTATATGACAGCTTCTGTTCTTTTTGTTTACTATTCCACCAGTCATTTACTAGCATCCCTCTCATAAGGATTAGAGTCTACTAAAAGGACACAGATGGTACCTATTGTCTTGGTCTTTGGACTAGCAGATGTCTTTCATTTTATCTCTGTGGTCATACTCACATATGGTTCATTTCAAGTTTTCTATTTCTTACTTTTAGTTTAGAAAATTGCTCAGTGGGCTAAGACAGTGTTAGTGGCGCTGGTTGGGTACAAATGGCTTTAGCTGTCTATGTTGTTACCGTAGCTTGGTGGCATGCGGGATGGATATAGTGGACCATCTGACGTACCTGAAGCAGTGGCTTTAGCTCAGTGGGCTAACTCTGTGCATGGTTGTGCTCCCCAGATGACCGTAGCTCTGCGGCGAGCGGGATAGATGTGGCGGACCGCCTGACATACCTGGAGCAGCGGATGCAGATGCAGGATGATGAGATCCAGCTTCTGAAGATGGCCCTGGCAGACGTCCTCAAGAGACTCAACATCTCAGAGGAACACCAGGTCGCCAACGCCAAGAAAGGACCTGCTGAGAAAGGTACACTCACACACACACACACACACACACACACACACAGTGGAGTCTGAAATTATTGACACCCTTGATAAAGATTAGCAATAATGACTGTATAAAATAAATAATTCAAATACTGAGCTATATTATATGCACCAAAAAAAGTGGAAATGCTATTATTTTATACTAATACAATTGCTCAGAAAAAAAGATTTTGTTTAACAAGTAATCTTTTTTTTCTCAAAAAGTTAGGAGTCAAAGTTATTGACACCCCTAAAGATTCTTTATAAATAAAGTAGTGAAAAGTTTAGTATTTGGTCCCATATTCCTAGCAAGCAATGACTACATCAAGCTTGTGACTCTACAAACTTGTTGGATGTATTTGCAGTTCGTTTTGGTTGTGTTTCAGATTATTTTGTGCCCAATAGTAAATCATGTATTGTGTCATTTCGGAGTCACTTTTACTATAAATAAGAATAGAATATGTTTCTGAACACTTCTAAATTAATGTGGATGCTACCATGATTACGGATAATCTTTAATGAATCGTGAATAAGGATGAATGAGAAAGTTACAGAGGGTCAAAGATCATACCCCCAAGACATGCTAACCTCTCACCAATACCAATAACAGGGGAGGATAGCATGTCTTGGGAGTATGATCTTTGACCCTCTGTAACTTTCTCACTCATCATTATTCACGATTTATTCAGGATTATCCATAATCATGGTAGTGTCCACATTAATGTAGAAGTGTTTAGAAGCATATCATATTCTTATTTACAATCGTCTGAGACCAGCCACCCGGACAGCTGATGAAATGAGGAGTATTTATGTCTGTAATAAAGCCCTATTGTGGGGAAAAACAAATTCTGATTGGCTGGGCCTTGCTCCCCAGTGGGTGGGCCAGTCTCCCAAGTAGATTAGGGCCTAATGAATATATTTCAATTGACTGATTTCCTTATATGAACTGTAACTCTGATGAATGTTGTGTTTATATTTTTGTAAACGCAACATGGTTGGGCGTACTGCCAAATTCTCTAAAACAACGTTAGAGGCGCTTATGATAAATGAACATTCAATTATCTGGAAACAGCTCTGGTGGACATTCCTGCAGTCAGCATGCCAACTGCACGCTCCCTCAAAACTTGAGGCATCTGTGGCATTGTGTTGTGTGACAGAACTGCACATTTTAGTGGCCTTTTATTGTCCCCAGCACAAGTTGCACCTGTGTAATGATCATGCTGTTTAATCAGCTTCTTGATATGCCACACCTGTCAGGTGTATGAATTATCTTGGCAAAGGAGAAATGCTCACTAACAGGGATGTAAACAAATGTGTGCACAAAATTGGGGGAAATAAGCTTTTTGTGCATATGGAACATTTCTGGGATCTTTTATTTCAGTTCATGAAACATGGGACCAACACTTTACATGTTACGTTTATATTTTTGTTCAGTATATATATATGGTCTCATGGCAATTCGTATTATTCTGTACGTAACTCTGTGACACTCCATATAGTATGATACTGTATGTTACATTATGTTAGGTTACATTATGAATAGAATAGTGGTCGTACAATATCATACGAATTAGAGGAAGTATAGTATCATATGTCTTACCCAGTCGTACAATAGCACGAATTGGAGGATGTATAGTATTATGTGTCTTTCTCTGAGACCAGGTTGCTTGTTGCGTCATATCAACAAAGGAGAATTATGGGGAGAATTTACATTGATGGTTAGGTGAACTAAAGACAAAGGTTGGGTGAATTTACGTGAAAGCTTAGGTGAACTGGGTTAAGCTTAGAATAAGGGTTAGGGTAAGGGTTAGGGGAAGGGTTAGCTAAAATGCTACAGTTGTCCCTGACGCGACTCGAACACACAACCTTTGGATTGTTAGATGGTCGGATTTGGATTACACCCACCCATCCTTCACGACCAACCACCCTACTTTTGTTTCTGTCTAAAGTAACTAGATCATTAGTACATACAGTATCCTATGTCTTGGAGGTGCTCAGAAATGTGTATAGTATGTTTCGTATGGTTCTGAGGCAATGCTACATACACACACCCCCTCCTCACCCACATTTCCCCTATGCACCAGCAGCTAGGCCTGTGTCTCTGGGCCTGCCTTCCAGAACATCAATGAACAGTCTTGCCTCTCTGAAGAAAAGCTCCACAACCTCTACACTACCATCTACCTCCACTGCACGGAACTACAGCCCCTTACCAGGAGCATCAGCCAAGAGGTATAGTACACAGTCACTAACCGTCACCTGCAAACACAGAGAGGTACAGTATGATTACTACACCTCTACTCTAACTCCATACATTTCAACAAATTAATCACACACTTGCTGTTGTCCCACTCTCTCTAATGTATCTCTCCTCCGCCGCTCTCTTTCTTTCTTTCTCCCCCCTCCCCCTTTCTCCCTCAGTGGTGTGAAGAGTTCAGCAGGCAGTGTGAAGGAGAATCCATGTACCTCTAAGACGGCTCGGCCCGGCCCCCGACCTGGCCCCGCAGGCTCAACAGCGGCCCCCGGCAGTAAGAAAGCTGATAGGTAGGTTAGTAGACAGATACTGCACAGGAACTTAGACGTCTGTGTCAGTAAGAGGGAAGTGGTGTTTATATGTGTTCTGAACATAGCCACTCTGAACATAGTAGGGGTGTTGAGGGTGCTGTAGCACTCCTGCAAAATCTGAAGACATTTTTGTTGGGATTTCTCACAAAAGTAGTGCACTGGGCCTTTATAAGTCCTGCATTAGCGGCACCCCCATCCCCAAACATCTTCCCGTGGCTATAACTGTTCTGTACTGAGTCTATACGTCTCTTACGTAGTCTCAAATAGATCTCTAGAGCAGGATTCACAACTCTGGTCCTTGAAGGCTTGCTGGTTTCCATCCTTGTTTGTCAATCAGACACTGGTTTATATCTGTGTCTGGGTAACCTGGTCTATTAACTAAAAGCAGCAGGACCGTGGCCCTCGTGGACTGGAGTTGTCCATCCTTGTTCTAGACGAGCGTGAGATTGAGAATAGACGTGAGATTGAGAATAATTTCCATGCTTGTGTGATGGGGCCTAACTTCTCCTTTCTCACTCTCTCCTTGCAGCAAAACCAAGGAGCCTGCAGCCAGTGTAGGTAAGAAAATTATTTAATTTATACTGTAGTGTGCTCTTTTCACCAGCAGGGAGCAGCACTGAGCTGTATAACAGGGCCTTGGGGAGAGGAATGGCCAGGTTAATGAAATGAAAAACAAGCTGTTGGTTAGATTGATCCTACTGTAACATGCCATTGATAAATGATATGAGTAACGTGGTTAGAGTGGCTACTATAAGTCCCACATAGACTGACCTGCTCTCTCTGTTTATGTGTTTGTTGTTCTACAGGGTTGAGGCGTGTGACACACTGTAAAGGTAGGCCCTCAGTCCAACCTCCTGGAATAACAGTCTTAACCTCAACTGGATATGTCTTAGTCTAGCTCTACCAGTGGTGGCTGCTGAGGGGAGGACGGCTCATAGTAATGGCTGGAATGGAGTCAGTGGAATGGTATCAAACACATCAAAGACATGGTTTCCATGTGGTTGATACCATTCCACTGACTCCATTCCAGCCATTACTATGAGCCGTCCTCCCTCAGCAGCCTCCACTGAGTTCTATATACTATGACTGTATTCTCCACCGCCTGTTACTGATCTCATGCATTATCTATCTCAGAAGAGACAACGTCTGTCAAGTTTGTCAAGTTTATGGAATAATTTCTACTAAAAGCTCAAATCTAATCTGTGGCAAATACATCTTCTGGTTTCTAAAGTACAAGTAAGCACTGTATTTCAACACTTGTTTATCCTTGTCTCTCATTAACTCACCATGTCTCATCATGACTTCTCTTCCCATTCCCTCTCAACCACACATCCACACCTTTCCCTCCCACCCCACACTTCAACCCCTCCCACCCAACACTTCAACCCCTCACCACCTCCTCACACCCCAACACTTCAACCCCTCACCACCTGCCACCTCACACCCCAACACTTCAACCCCTCATCACCTGCATCCTCCCACCCCAACACTTCAACCCCTCACCACCTCCTCACACCCTAACACTTCAACCCCTCACCACCTGCATCCTCACACCCCAACACTTCAACCCCTCACCACCTGCACCCTCCCACCCCAACACTTCAACCCCTCACCACCTGCACCCTCCCACCCCAACACTTCAACCCCTCACCACCTCCTCCCACCCCAACACTTCAACCCCTCACCACCTGCATCCTCACACCCCAACACTTCAACCCCTCACCACCTGCACCCTCCCACCCCAACACCCCAACACTTCAACCCCTCACCACCTCCTCCCACCCCAACACTTCAACCTCTCACCACCTCCTCACACCCCAACATTTCAACCCCTCACCAACTCCTCACACCCTAACACTTCAACCCCTCACCACCTGCATCCTCACTCCTCAACACTTCAACCCCTCACCACCTGCACCCTCCCACCCCAACACTTCAACCCCTCACCACCTGCACCCTCCCACCCCAACACTTCAACCCCTCACCACCTGCATCCTAACACCCGAACACTTCAACCCCTCACCACCTCCTCCCACCCCAACACTTCAACCCCTCACCACCTGCTCACACTAACATACCTCACTTCGTCCACTACTTTCACCCTCAACCTTTACCCCTCATTTCACCTCTTCACTTAGTGACTATGCAGATCTATCTGAGCCCCCAAACAAAAAGGACTGGGTCTTCTGAAGCAGCCAAATCAGCCCCCACGGTCCCCAACTCCAGACCAACCAGAACCCCCACCCCCCCCTCAGACCAAAGGAGTCCCCCCGACCTTGGACCGGACCAAGGCAGAGACACGCAAATCAACTCCTTCCTTCACCCTCCCCCTGCAGAAAAGCACCAATCAAAATACGTATTCTCCTCTGGACACGTCCAATTACAAAAGCCCCTTCAGATCACCAAGCCATTACTTCCAGATCTGTTACTAGGCAATAGAGTAGGCTATGAGGATGTAGAAGTTGCTCCTAACTACAGGTCTAGGGTCAGATATTGTTTTAATCCTCATAATGGTTAGGGTTGGATGTTGGGTAATCTGATCCTAGATCTGTGGTTAAGGGCAACTTATATTTTTTGGGCCATTACAAGTGTAGGCCTGTAAGTTAAATCGGTTTTCCAGATGTTTGAAAATGTATAGCAATGTGAGGGAATTAGAAGTGGAGGTTGTCTTCAGTAATGTTTGAGATGGACTGATAGTTACAAAGTTTTGGTTTTGATGTTTTTTGTTTGACCAGGAAAGAGAATAGTGAGTTTATTTGATTGTTTTGTAGTATTTCCTAGCACCATCAGTGACCATAGTCCTCTTCACTTGGTTCTCTGTAAGTTCTTACATATTTCTGTCTCAGTCAACTGGAAGCCTCTTTTTTTCTCCTGTTTCTTTCTGTCTTAATGTCTCATTTACGTTTGACATTTTAGTAATTTAGCAGACACTCGTATCCAGATTTGTTTGTTTTGTAGCTTTATGTCAGTAAAATATGGATGTATGAGTTTTCATTGAAATCTCCCTGACTTTGGGGGATGTACAGTATGAGTGAATTCTCTTATTAGATTCCTGTGTGTATCTCTGTCTCTGTTGACAGCCATTAATAAACATTTCAGTGATCACCTGCTTCGACTACTGTTTCTTTCTCCTTTCTCTTACAACACAAATTTTAAAAGTCATTTAGCAGACGCTCTTATCCAAAGCAACTTACAGGAGAAATTAGGGTTAAGTGCCTTGCTCAAGGGCACATCGTCAGATTCAAACCAGTGACCATTCGGTTACTGGCCCAACACTCTTAACCGTTAGGCTACCTGCCGCCCTACACCATGCTGTAATAATAACAATGTAATAACAACAAATACATGTCCATGGTGTTTGGAGTTCTACTGTTTGTGTGTGTGCGTGTATGTGTTTGTACACAGTATATTTTATAAGTTATGTTAGCAACCTCCTGTGGAGATTCATAGTGGGGCAGACAGAAACTGTAGGTCTCAGCGTACAGTGCCTTCGGAAAGTATTCAGACACCTTGACTTTTTCCACATTTTGTTACGTTACAGCCTTATTCAAACATTTATTAAATCGTTTTTTCCCCTCATCAATCTACATACAATACCCCTGTTGGGTTCTATTTTTCTCATAATTGGATCTGTATGTGATGAATAACTTAGAAGGAATGCATTAATGAGGAGCATAGGTTTGTACTATACTGATATAAATTGTTTCACATAACAGGCTGTGATTCATGTAAGGAACGTTAGGGGTAGGACAGATAAGACTTGTATTTCTCACAGATACGAACACTCTCTCTTTGTTGTCTGTGAACCGTCCTTGAACGTAGTACAGTGGAATGGTGTCTTTTGGGTGCTGACTCCACAGGTTGTTATGATAAACTTGTGCCTGGCAACAGTGTGCAACAAATGGAGCGCCGAGGAGTTGGGACCAACCCCTGCGCCAACGGATTGGCTGAGTAAAGTCTAAACCACACTCAGTCCTTTACTCTGATTGGCCAACAGAAGAGGTGGGAACTCTCTGTCAGAGTATTTGAGAAAGAACCTGTAAACAATAGTTTAGTTCTCTGTCTGCCCTGCGTGGTTTTTCAGTGAGCCCGTATAGGAACCTTCATACTTATCATACATACATTTTGCATATAATAAATTAAGCTTGGATTGAAGATCTCTTGATTCTTATTCCAATACCAGATTTGAATTACGCAATTTCTAACACCCCATAATGACAAAGCAAAAACAGTTTTTTAGACATTTTTGCTAATTTATTAAAAATAAAAAACTGAAATATCAAATTTACATAAGTATTCAGACCCTTTACTCAGTACTTTGTTGAAGCACCTTTAGCAGTGATTACAGCCTCGAGTCTTCTTGGGTATGACGCTACAAGCTTGGCACACCTGTATCTGGGGAGTTTCTCCCATTCTTCTCTGCAGATCCTCTCAAGCTCTGCCAGGTTGGATGCGGAGCGTTGCTGCACAGCTATTTTCAGGTCTCTCCAGAGATGTTCGATCGGGTTCAAGTCTGGGCTCTGGCTGGGCCACTCAAGGACATTCAGAGACTTGTACCGAAGCCACTCCTGCGTTGTCTTGGCTGTGTGCTTAGGGTCGTTGTCCTGTTGGAAGGTGAACCTTCCTGAGGTCCTGAGCACTCTGGAGCAGGTTTCATAGAAGGATCTTTCTGTACTTTGCTCTGCTCATCTTTGCCTCGATCCTGACTAGTCTCCCAGTCCCTGCCGCTGAAAAACATCCCCACAGCATGATGCTGCCACCACCATGCTTCACCGTAGGGATGGTGCCAGGTTTCCTCCAGACGTGACGCTTGGCATTCAGGCCAAAGAGTTCAATCTTGATTTCATCAGACCAGAGAATCTTGTTTCTCATGGTCTGAGTCTTTAGGTGCCTTTTGGCAAACTCCAAGCGGGCTGTCATGTGCCTTTTACTGAGGAGTGGCTTCCGTCTGGTCACTCTACCATAAAGGCCTGATTGGTGGAGTGCTGCAAAGATGGTTGTCCTTCTGGAAGGTTCTCCCATCTCCACAGAGGAACTCTAGAGCTCTGTCAGAGTGACAATCGGGTTATTGGTGTCACCTCCCTGACCAAGACCCTTCTCCCCCTATTGCTCAGTTTGGCCGGGCGGCCTGCTCTTGGAAGAGTCTTGGTGGTTCCAAACTTCTTCCGTTTAAGAATGATGGAGGCCACTGTGTTCTTGGGGACCTTCAATGCTGCAGACATTTTTTGGTACCCTTCCCCAGATCAGTGCCTCGACACAATTCCTTCGACCTCATGACTTGGTTTTTGCTCTGACATGCACTGGCAACTGGTGGGACCTTATATAGACAGGTGTGTGCCTTTCCAAATCATGTCCAATCAATTGAATTTACCACAGGTGGACTCCAATCATGTTGTAGAAACATCTCAAGGATGATCAATGAAAACAGGATGCACCGGAGCTCAATTTCGAGTCTCATAGCAAAGGCTCTTAATACTTACAGTACGTAAATAAGGTATTTCAGTTTTTAATTTTTAATAAATGTGTAAATTTTTTTACAAAAACTGTTTTCCATTTCTTTATGGGGTATTGTGTGTAGATTGCTGAGGGGTTTTTTTTCTCCTTGTTTTCATCCATTTTAGAATAAGACTAACGTAACAAAATGTGGAAAAAGTCAAGAGGTCTGAATACTTTCCGAAGGCACTGTACTTGAGGGTCAGGAGGCTAGATGTATGCTATCCAACTCGGTGACAACATGACATTGGGTAGACTAGTGTTGCACCCCCCTTGAACTTAGTGTGTTGTCTTCACACTTGCAACATGGAGTTCTCTAAGTGGACAAGGGATGCTCTCTGCTGGCCAGAAGATAATACTGTCTTTGTTGTTTCCTTTCCCAGATACTTTAAGCCCCATGCAATCTTTGTAATTTTTTAATCATCACTGTATGTCTAATAATCACGGTGTTTGTTTATTTAATGAAAATATTTACATACACAGCCCTGATTGACTGATAGGATGGTCTAGAGCCCACCCCCTTTCCCAGACGAACAGTCATTGGCCTATTATAATCAGATCACATTGTGAATATCATGATGTGGGCCGAAAATTCCTGAACAGGCTGAAATTCCATGCAATTGTTTTGTTAGACAAAAAGGGCATTATCATAATTTTCACAATTTCATTGTTATTTTGACCTCATTGTGTGGATTCTTTAAAATATATATTTGTTACTTTAAAATCACGATTTTTAACTGCACTGCCCCTTTAAGTTGGCTCAACTTCAATGACATTTATTTAATGGTATCTGAAGAATCAGTGGCTTGAAAATCAAGGCTAGACAGTGGAAGTGAAAGTCTATGTGACCACACCAACATCTTAGTTGGGTACAGATCACTCACACCTGCCATCTTGCAGGCTATGTTCAATGATTCCGTCGATGTCCCATTGATGTTATATCCTTGGCCCCGTACTTTGCCTGCATGCAGGTCAGAAGATCTTAGTTGTGTAAAATAAAGGTTAAATAAATAAATACAATAAAAATAGGTTTCAGGTGTCCTAATAGCCCCTAACCCAAAACCTAGCCTACAAAAGGGCAAGGCATTACCTTGTATTTGACCTTACAACCCCATCTGTTTACCTGTCAGAGGGGAACAGGCAAACAGCTGGCCATCACACCTATAGTGTAGCCAACTGAGATGGGTTCAACAAGGATGGATATGACAGGGACATCCAATTCCTCTCATCATGGATTTAAGTAGGCCTACTACTGGTTTTCATTAAGTGCTAGACATGTTACATTATCACCTGGTGGTGTTGACAGGGTCACAGACTTAGTGGTCACACTTCAAAAAATAAACCCTGAGTTTGGACCCTCCCCCCCCCCCCCCCCCCCCTCCCCCCCCCCTCAATTCAATTCAATTCAATTTGCTTTATTGGCATGACGTTACAATGTACATATTGCCAAAGCTTACTTTGGATATTTACACTATGAACATCATTAAAATAATAATAATCAATATTGTCAACGGGACAACATTAACAACAATATCCAAGGGTCACAATAACCATTGAACAATAACAATATAGAGGACGTGCAGGTTGGTTGGTCTGTCAGACACCGTTCCTCATCTTATGGCAGGCAGCAATGTAGTGCGCTGTCAACAGGACCGGTAGCCTATTCTCATCAGAGAGGTCTTTTGAAACTTTGGGAAATAACACTCTCTAATTATTTTATATTCTCAGGTCTTTGAAACTTGGGGAAATAACACTCTCTAATTATTTTATATTCTCTCTCTCTCTCTCTCTCTCTCTCTCTCTCTCTCTCTCTCTCTCTCTCTCTCTCTCTCTCTCTCTCTCGCTGCCACGCTCCCAGTGATGGACGAAGGGAAGATGGCACCTCAGAAGCCGCTGTCAGCCACACGGACCGGTATCTCGTCAGGACAGTTCTCCGTAGCGCTCTGAAATGGCACCAAAAACACCTGCACCACCTCGAGAGCGACTGGAGACAGATTCGTTTTAAAAGAGACTAAAACTGTGCATCCGTTTGTGGCATTTACCCCACCCTGTCTCCTTTCCATCTTCTGCCTTGCTCTGCACATCGCCGGCAGGCTTCGTAGCATCGACGTAGCCAAGGCTATAGCTAGATAATACATATTATAATATTTACATCGCCTATATTCTGGACTGAGATACTCGTCCAGAAAAGGAGACATACCGAATACAGGTCATTCTTCATTTATACCTACGGTGGAGAGAAGAAGATGAGGTAAGCAAAGCATGCTCTGGCTTTTTGATACAGCCCGTCCGCGTTATTCATGCACAATGAACGACACACACACACACACACACACACACACACACACACACACACACAGGCTGGCGCTGCTGCTACTGCAAGGCTGGATGAGATCCGGGGACGGATTTTATGGGATTTTAAGGGATACAGTCGGATAAACTGAAATATCAAATTAATAGTATAACGTTTTATTCGTGCTGTCGAGGACGCACTTAGCAAATATGCCGCTCTTAAATCCAAGCTTTTATTATAGGAACATTTCGTTTTTAGGATGACCGGCAACTCTACCTTTATTTGGGCCTAAGAGGTGGGGCAGCGTTGTGCAGGATTGCTGTGAATTCTCCATGTGAATAGGGGGAAATGAATCCGCTTCCGTGTCAAAAAGCAACGAGCAAGGGCATGGTTTCTCTCATTTCATGGCCATGGACACAGGGGAGAAAGCATTTATAAAACACAAGCAGCAAAAGTCTCAACCCAGCTCTTGCTGGTGCTCCCATACAATCTCTGTGATGTGTCACCAACACTGAGGGAGTGGTCTGCAGAGGGATATGTTGTCATAGAAACCAGACTACACGTGCGTCATGTGTAACATGGTTATAAGAGGTGGTTATAACATATAAATATAATGCATTCCATTCTAATTCTATTCTGGGTTATAAGTGGTTCCAGAATGTCATGGAATTGGAATTTTAATTATATGATTTTGATTCTATGGACCTTTTTGGATTGTAGGGCACACAGTATTCTGATCACAACATTAACTCATAGGATTTCACATCACCAAAAACAACCTAAAAATGTAATTTTATCAGGCCATCAGATCCTGCAACATGCTCAGATGAACAAACATACACACACACACACACACACACACACACACACACACACACACACACACACACACACACACAAACACAAACATCAGACACACAGACACACAGACACACAGACCCAGGTCAACTGGTCTGTGATCAGTGTTTACTTCCAACAGAGGGAATGCTTTCCCCTCTGTGTCTTGTGTTGATTGTGGTCTCAGTTTTGTGACCAGCAGCTCCTACTGGTTCAAAAGCATTTACCATGTTACAGTATTATCTCACTGAGCCATACCCAGAACTCAGTTGTTCTATCAAATCTCACACCTCACACTTCATGGTCGAACACAGCCACCCTAACCAAAAGGGACAGTTCACCTGCGAATCAGATCACCCACCCAATCAGAACTGGCCTTACTGTAGTGCTACACTGAACCGTGGCCAATCCGCCAAGGTTTTACTGTCGCTCTGTGGTGACTGCCAGCCTTTGGCACAGGTCTGCTGCAGGCAGAGGAACCCCAGGTTGAGGCTAATTGTTATTGGCAGTGTTTGGGCAGCCAGTCTCTCTCTGTCTCTCTGTCTCTCTGTCTCTCTGTCTCTCTCTCTCTCTCTCTATCTCTCTCTCTCTCTCTCTCTCTCTCTCTCTCTCTCTCTCTCTCTCTCTCTCTCTCTCTCTCTCTCTCTCTCTCTCTCTCCCTCTCTCTCTCTCTCTCTCTCTGTGTGTGTGTGTGTGTGCATGTGTGTGTGTGTGTGTGTGTGTCTAGGCTGTATCTCCCAAGGTCAGTGTGGGAGTGTGCCAGTACCCTCTATCTACGCCCACAGGGCAGTATTCCCTGTCCCCTCCTCACCTCTCCTGCTGTCTCCCCTTCTTTCAACCAGGCCTCCAGCCTACTCTTTCCCCTCCTCCATTATCACACTGCTCCCTCATCCCCATCTCCTCCCCCTTCTCTCCTTTACTCCCTCCCCTTCCCTGCCAGCCTGGCATAGAGCATAGCATATACCATACCTAAGACACTTTGCATCAACTGTTTTTGTATGCTCTAACTCCGTAGGCTTACTGTGCCCTAAGCTAACCCAAGCTGACCCTAACGAACTGACTGACTTCAATGGTTATATCATGTCTGTGACCGTCATACAGTTCTGGCTGGGGATTTAAACTCATGTAGCCAACACTGTTATAGAGATGTACAGTAGGTGGCAGCATTGACTGTGGTTCAACCATTCTTCATCTGTAGTAGTGTGTGTGTATGTGTGTGTTCGCGTGGTTGTTTGCATGTGTCAGTGTGCATGCACTTTCACATATGCTATTGATTGATTATGTCTGTGTGTATTTGTGAATTGTGATGAATGTTCAACATGTGACCCTCTCAATGCTATGTGTGTAGGCCAGTAAGTGATTGTTGGTCTCTCTAACAGTGACTAAATGGCCATTGATTCTAACCAGATGATGTCATCTCTACAGGTCAAACATACATTAGTCAAGGTTACAGACTCAGAACCTCACTGGTTGCGTCCCAATACCACCCTATTCCCTATATAGCCTTTTGTACTACTTTTGTCCAAGCCCATTGCATCCCAAATGGCACCCTATTCCCTATAAAGTGCACTATAAAGTGGAATAGGGTGCCATTTGGAATGCAACCACTGTTTCCATTCAGAGTTAACCTATACTGGACTAAAAGCTGTTCTCACTGTTGGTTCACACACAGTGACCTAGGTGCATTCAGTCACGATCATGGTGAATTTCACATCACTAATAGAGTTTTCAATTTGATCAGACTAACCCCAAGTGTATGGGGTTTTGCTTAATTGAACGAATAAATTAATTATCTGAATGAAACTTCCCAAAGGGTGAGGTGAGGGGGGTGCGGGGAGGGGGATTATGTTAAAATATGGCATAATAATATTTAAGTCTGTGCCCCAGTCATGCAACCTGGTCTCAGAGCATTTTCATATTATCCTGCATGTAAATCCGAACACTCAATTTAGTATGATATGTTACATTTCGTATGGTATGTATTCATTTGTGGATGTCCATCACCCATTTCGTAAGATATGTTACGGATTACAATTCGTATTATATGTTACAACTTTGCAAAATGTATATGTTAGGAATCTGCAAAATGTATGATATGTTACAAATTCTAGCTAGGTGGCTAATGTTAGCTAGCTGGCTAATGTTAGCTAGGCTAGGGTTTAGGATTAAAGTTAGGGTTAAGTTTAGGAGTTAGGTTAAAGGGTTAAGGTTAGGGTTATGGGGAAGGGTTAGCTAAAAGGGTTAGGGGAAGGGTTATGGTTAAGGAAAGGGTAGCTAACATGCTAAGTAGTGGTAAAGTAGCTAAAAAGTAGTAAGTAGTTGAAAAGTTTTCCGTGATGAGATTCGAACTCGCAACCTTTGGGTTGCTAGACATTTGCATTATACGCCTACCCATCCACCCCGACCAACCACCTTCCTTTCGTTTTTGCCTTAAGCAACCATCTGTCTTATGTAACCATACCAAACGTAACATATCATACTAAATGTGATTTCTTGGATTTACGTACAGAATAATACGAACTGCTCTGAGACCTGCTTGAGTCATGTTATTACATGTTAAGTCTATTATCACGTTATCAGTTAGAGTAGTAATATTACGTGTATTAAGGTGAGATGTGAACGTGTTGGAGAAGGTGGCTCTCTCAGGATGTGTGTGTGGGTATGTGGTGGACATATGTTTGCGTGTTGACGTCTGTGCACTCACGGTTTCAGCCTGTTGGCGTGTCATGGTGTGTTTGTGTATGTGTACGTACGTGTGTGTCATCATTGTGTTTTTTTGTGTTCCAATTCATGTTTCAAGTTAACTTTATTTTATTTGCATTTCTTTAGCTTCTCAAAGTCACACAATAGATACAGTGCATCAGATTTTATTATAGAGCCCCCCCCCCTCTCTCTCTCTCCTCTCTCTCTCTCTCTCTCTCTCTCTCTCTCTCTTTCTCTCTCTCTCTCTCTCTCTCTCTCTCTCTCTTCTCTCTCTCTCTCTCTCTCTCTCTCTCTCTCTCTCTCTCGCTCTCTCTCTCTCTCTCTCTGTGGTATTACTGTTTCATGTTAGTTGCTGATTGATAGTCTTTACTGTGACTGGGATCAGACAGCAGCAGTGTCGTCTCATATTAATCTGCTGTTGTCACACTGGTGAGTTAAACCCTTTAACGAGGAGGGTAAGCCAACCATTAACCACAGACTAACGAGAGAATAGACTCACTCATCACTGCTGGGGACACTGAGGGAGTATAGAATAGACAGATTTTAGCTAGTGTTGGTGTCAGTATACATACTATGAAAAAGACCAGTTTAGGTTATTTCTCTGTCTTTAGCAGGTCCCATTCATAGCGTAACTCTTCTAGCCAGCTGTAGTTTATTTATATAACTGATGCACTTAAACCTCCCTGTGAGAGAATTCTGAAATGTCATTAAGCACTGAAAGCATGCGGGCCATCGATCTAGCCCGAAGCGTATTGGTTTGGGTTGATGTGTATTGGAGTGTGTGGTTAGTGGTGTGTGTGTGACCCATATGTGGGCTGGTGGATGGCGATATGTGTGTGCTTGTTTCAGCTGGGCTAGGGGTGACTACCCATTATAATTAAAGTGACTGTAATTCCAGTTCCATGGCAGCCCCCTCACTACTCGATGCACCAGAGAGAGAGTACTAGAGACAGTAGAGAGATGGGAATACGTGCCAAAATCTTTGTTTGCTACTCAAGGTTTGAATCATACATTGAGGATACCCTGAAACTATGGGGCTGAACCTATGCTTATATTCACTGCTTCTGGCATATTCTTTGCTTATGAGGGTACCATAATGCTACCTCTCAGGCCTTTACCCCTAGCCTGGGCACCCATGTAATTCAACCCCTGCGGCTGAATTAGATGGATCTTCTTGGTCCT